CCATTTTTTAGTACGTGTTGAATGTGACACCCGATTTGCCAAACGAGTTTGAGAAATTGGGCATTATCAAATATCTGCAAATACCCATTACCGATCATTATTCGCAGGATCTGGCGATGCATTTTCCAGCTGCCATACACTTTATAGGTGCGTACATGGAATTCATATCGTTTTCTTAACAATTCTCAACTGRTTCACTCTCCTCTCMCATTGCAGAGGAAGCGCGCTCTGCTAATTCGGCGGTGCTGGTCCACTGCCTGGCAGGTGTCTCGCGCTCCGTAACGGTGACGTTGGCCTATTTGATGCACACACGGGCGCTCAGTCTGAACGATGCGTTCATGCTGGTGCGTGCTCGCAAAGCGGATGTCTCGCCCAATTTCCACTTCATGCAGCAGCTGCAATCCTTTGAGAGCCAACTGCGCCTGAGTCCCTGCGATGGCCAGGCGATGGATGAGAGCGGCAGCGTTAATATGATTGGACCCACAGCTGGCTGCTCCTCGGCCACGGTGCTCTCGGGCAATCCCGGCCTGGTGGCGCGCTGCGGCCGTGGCTCGAAATTCTCATGCAATTGCATCGCTCCCGACTGCAAGTGCATGCAAACGGGCGGGTTTATGGCCGCGCATCTGGCCAAGGCAACTGGCGTCTCACCCGATTCGGGTATTGAGTTTGACCGCTGGACGCCATCGTCGGACACGGGTCTTAAATGAGATCAGTGTGCGGGAAAGAGTTTTGTGCTGCCCCCCAGTCAGAGTCAGGAATCGACAGCAGCAGCAGCAGCAGCAGCAGTGGCAGCAATGGCGGCAGTCGCAGGAGCAACCAGTTCGCCGCCACCGATTGGGCTGGCGTGCGGCAACGCTGACAACATGTCACCAGCCAGCACCACCAGCTCATCCACTTCAACAACGACCACGGCCGAGGCTGTCTCAGTGGTGGAGCTGGTGCCAGCCAATGTGGTGCCAGCCGAGGCGACAAGTGAGGAGCCGTAATAGCTGGGAGCTAAGCAGAAGGCAAAACTTCTTTTCCTACTTTGGTTGTCGAATA